TATGTCACAATTCTTTCGTCATTGTATTATTCATCGCACTATGGTACATGTTGTCGCGGCGACTAGGCGCGTAGACCCGGGTCGACGTTTGGCGACGACCCCGTAGGCGAGCGGCAAGGAGCTGAAAGGGAAGAGATAGAGAGGAGGAGAGGGATAAACGCAACAAGAAACTCGACAGGGCAGAGCGGAGGCCGGCACAAAGGCACAAGACCTACGAAGCTAGTCTTCATGCAGATAGCGACAGACTAGTCCTAGTCCCAATGACCAAGTTATACATTAGCAATCGAAGAGAGATACAACGCTATGGTCACTCACCTAGTCCCAATGACCAAGAGGTCAAGATGGGGACTAGGGAGCGCCTAGGGGGGTCCTTATATACTAGAGGGGCTGCTTAGCAACCAAGGACAAGGCGCGAGAGCGAGGCAGTGAAGATGACAAAGGGAGAACAAAGGGTGAGAAAGAAAAGGCAAGGGCATGGCAATCACGGGAACGTAGCATGCGGCTGTGGGAACGTATCTACAGTGTCCAAACTGGGATGAGCTAGGAAAGGAAACGGTCCGGAAATGGAAGGTGGGCGTCAAAGGGAAGGGAACGGGCGGCAAAAAGGGGTGTCTGTCCAACGTCCGTGACAGAGGCCTGATCCCAGGCGGCTGTCGGGAGAGGACCGGTCCGGGGAGGCCTTGAGGATATAATGTCGTTGGCGCACTTACTTATACGTCCTTATACCTACTTTTATCTGTTGCTACTTACTTCGTCTCACAGCCATCCATATGTGTAATATAGGTTGTTGTACATCTAGCCCGAAGTGTGACACTTCCTTACTCAGTCTATCTCCCAATGTCACACCTGTGCAGGCAGCGGACAACGTCAGGAGCATTTCGAATCGCAAGAAGACAAACGAGCTATTGCTAGCCTACGCCGTCACTTAATACTGCTCGCTATAATCCCTATGTCTAGAAGCTCAACTATATTCATCTCTGATGACGACCCTCCCAGCAGCGGCACACAAACCTTCGTTCCATCTGAATGGATTGCCTACGGAAAGACATACCCTGCTCTTGAGACACCACCCTTCATCCTTGCTGCACGTCAGGCCGCTCTTACCATCCCCCCGGAATACAACACCCTCATGCCCAACCCCCACACTTCCGTGCTGCATTTGCTCTGCACAGATCTTCCCCCTCTATCGGCACTCACCTCTCAGAAGGCCTCACATGCATTCAGCGAAGATCCTCCAAACGAGACCCTTCGTACACTCTTCAGTGGACGTACATCAGTAAAAATGAATTTCTATAGAGCCGCATGCCACGGCGATGTAGGCTACGTCAGCTCTATAGCACAGGGCGCTAGATATGTAGACATCTGTAGCGCTCAGTAGTCAGCTCGGTTTTTGGGACTGCCTGTTGTGATCGGCAACCCTAGCAAGGCACATTTGTAGCAAGACCTGATACTTTGTAGTTGAAATTGAAGCAGGCAAAGTTTCAAATCTGCCCATTCTCATCGAGCGTAGCAGATGGATTTTGCGAAGTCAGCTCGCACCGGCCCTAAACATGGGCGTCTATACCCTGTTGCTCTGCCCGACGCCCTTGCTTCTGGGTCGTGCCTTGTACAATCCCTTCGCTTGCCTGTGTTCTCTTCTGTTCCTTATTCCTGCTCGCTCCGGGTTTCGTCTCGAACGTGATATGTTTTGCTTAAGTTGGCAAGTTGAAGATCCTTCCCGTAGCCTCCTACCAACTTAGCTGCTCTATGCAAATGACGTGGCATGTCCATCCTCTGTAGGTGTCTCGTATCCTCTCTCATCACCCCCTTTCTTACTACCAATATATGTTGAGCTGTCTCATCTGATATATGAGGGAGGTAGGTATGTCTGAGAGTCTGATATCCGAGAGAGGCAGGTACGTCTTAAGGTCTGCAGAGGTTTTCGACGTCTGTTGGCATCTACAGCAGGTATGTGGTCCTGTACTGGTGCACCCCCTCCCTCCCTGATTTGTAAAAACCACCTTTGCGAATTACACCTATTCAGTACAAATTAGCTCTTAATAGACACAGTGGTTGAATAGTGAAAAATAGTGCAAAATCAAGAGGTCCCCAAAAATAATTGCACTATTTTGCACTATTAATGCAAATTTGTGCAAAGTAGCACTATAGTAGACGGAAATAGTGCTACAGTAGACATTGATAGTAGTGGATAGAGTGGGTCCATAATTTCTGACTAGTGTAGAAATGATTAATATGACCTCAAAACCATCTGTTTATAAGCCCCAGATGCATTTCAAGTGCTGGAAAAAATATTATAAAAAAGTGTCCTCACCCAGTCTTGAACGCTCAACCCCACTTTCAGATAACACTCCTATTCTGAAGGGGTGCTCTATACCACTGCACCACCAGAGGTTACATAGATTTTCTCCACAGGTACCATATATATCCATCACTGCTGGACTTGGGCAAAGTGGTGACACCTCACCTTGAGATTCACCTGCTGAGGCTTGCATATGTGTAATGTCTGGGACTATGTATATAATATGGAGTGTGCTATAGAGTATGCTTCATGGTCTGAATGCTGTGCTGACAGCCTAGTCCTATACATGATAACAAGTTCTATGTTGAGTTGT